CTTGGCGCCATCTATTGTTATATCCTTTCCAGCATACAAACAATTTCGAATATCGTTTTACAACGATAATTCGAACGAGAGATGTCGCCATTGCTTTTTTAGAAATTTAAATTGTTTATAGTGCTAATCTTTGCACTTAAGATTGAACATTAAAATATGTAGAAAAAGTGTGAAAATATTGTCGCCGTTGTGGGAATCGAACCCACGTCTTCGGCATTCGCGGAATTCAATATATACATTCAAATATATACATAGAATACAGAGATGGATGAGGAAAGTAAATGTTATGTAAATGTTTCTGGAACAATAAAGTCATACATGAGTTTTGATCATGTTTGCCCAGTAATGGCTAGATGTAATGTTAAAATTACTTTAGCATCATCACATGTTATCTACCTTTAACAGGCCATTATTCTGTATCTGGCTCATTCAAAATCAAATTGTTAATTTGGTTTGGTCGATTAGCACAGTTAGAGAAAATATTGTTATAAAATTAAAAAAGCTCAATTTCTGGCAATTATTTCGGATACCGGGGAGACATGTCGAAACTGTATCATATTAGAAATATCATTGCTTGAGTCGTTTGTTTTCTATATAACCTTTATGCTATAAATTATAAATCGAACTTTTCATCTCTCAGTTTTCTTCCTTTTTTCAATTTGACTTTGTATTCACTTTTGTCTTGTCATTCAAAGTTTTCAGTAGTACAATAAAGCATCCATTTAACTCATAATATATTGTTGAAATTATTACAAATTTTACAACACGCAAGTAGTGTTTTCCTTTTGTTCCCTTATCGAACAATCATAATGGATAATTTGGAAAAAAATGTAGGTCACGATGTTGCACGAATGGGCGGGCTTGTCCGTGTAAGTACCACGACCTCACAGACCGGCCTAAAATGGAAGTATAATACTTTCGCGTTTTGTTTGGTGAGTGAGGTGGCCGGAGCCCAACTTTCAAAAGGTTGTCAACGCATCTGCAACTCTCGGGTGTAGCAGATGTCCATGGGCGGCGGTATTCACTTAACATCAGGTGAATCGACTGCTCGCTTGGTAACTGTTCACATAAAAAAAATACTTTTTTATTAATAATTTAACGCTGGTTAATATTGAGTAACGATTCATCAGAAAAATGTAAAATTAGGCACCCTTTAAAAAGTTTGTCCTGCTAGAAGGGGTTCGAGAAACGACTCTTTAAGGAAAGATTATTAAGTAATAATGAAAATTTTGTAGCAACTAAATTAATTTTAACATAAAAGGCGAACGTAACAATATAATCTTATCCTTTAAACGAGCTAAAAATCGATCTAGCTAGGTTTCATTTTTAGAAAAATGTCCTTTTATCCCTGTTTTCAGGGAATAAAAATATCATTCGAATATGACAGTAAATTTCGCCGCAAAAAAAAATGTTATAATACCTCTGTCGGTAATCGGGCGGCCGTGGTTCGTATCACGATCATTTACACAATATTTTTTTTTTTCTATACCAGATCATTTTCTTTATTTTTTATTTTTTTAATTTCCAAAATACATGATTTATCGGTCCTCCAGGTACTCTTTCTAATGTCTACATTGTGTTAGTTCCAGAAACATTTACATAACATTTACTTTCCTCATCCATCTCTGTATTCTATGTATATATTTTATTTAAGTCCAATTAAAATTTCACTTACAAGATCTTAACTAAATAAACATAAATACTTATGCATACAAATGTAAAGTGAATAAAAAGCTTGTTTATTAGATCAAGTATCAGCAGAATTTTGTCCCCAAAATTTACATCTTTATGTGCCTGCAATTCGCGTCTAGACTGGGTTCTTCAACAAAACATTACCACCTCAACTACTTTGTTTTGAAAAAACAACCTTTTCAACGACTCAAGTGTAACACTTCTATTTCACGGCGGTCTTCTGTGAGGTCGTGTTACTTCCCCTGACGGATCTGCCGATTCGTGCAACAGCAAGACTGCGTAGCCCTTCCACATTGGCTACCACATTGCTGGCAGTCTCTTATGCCCGGTTCCTATATTCAACGAACGGCCGTTAGTTACATAGCTTCGTAACTTTCATAAAGACTTGTAGATTAAAGGAACGCTGTCAGTTCCTTTAGTTACGAAACTTTCTTTATCCTATTGGCATCTACATTTTAAAGTGCGCCAATTTTCCTGTGGCCCTTATACTATTTCTACATCTTACACAAGTCATGTGTGTTATTTTAATGGGGACAATAAGAGATGAAATCGAGATCATTAATAAGCTAGATTTGTACTCAAATGTCATGTCAGGCATTCAGGTATAGCAGATTTGTTTAAACAAACTGAAAAAATAGAGGTTTAACTATATTGTTACACACTGAGTGTTGCCCATGGCTTCGTTTGCATGGATTTCGCCTTCGTAAAGAGCTATTATTACCCTACAGGTTATTTAAAATCAAAGGAATATGATGTAAGTTTCACAACCGAGATGTATTTGATATTTCAAATCTGAAAAGGTTAAGGCTCTAGACCAGAGTGTGCCAGAGAATTGATAAGCATCATTCTGTACACATACGCTCGAAAAATATTACCTTTTTTTTCAATACAATTTGAAATCTGTATTTATAAACTAGGATTAATTTAAACCTAAGCTTTAGGATTAATTTTAATTTTTGTGCTACTCTCTGCACTCAATAAAGTTTTAAATAATTCTAATTTTAAAGAGTTTAAAAGTTCCTCTTTAATTTTGAATAAAGCAGATCAACTCTGGTACTTCATCTATTATTTCACTCACTGACTCACTCCGATTAGTCAGTTAATTATTTCCGAAAGCTACGGCAAGGTAAGTCTTGATCCAAAAGGGCTAACCTTTTGGATCAATACTTACCTTGTACGTTTATACAGGAAAGTCTTGTTTGAATTTTCGGGGATTGATTTGATTATCCAATCACGTTTGACAGCGACATGTCGTTTCGTAGACGGAAATAATGTAGCAGATAAAGTCAAGTTCTTTTTAAGCCACCCTTATAATATATCTTTGAATGTCCTAAACAAACATTCAAAATTATATTTTGCTTGTAATAAATGTCTGTGAATCTTATTCATTCCGAGCCACATGTTATTAATAGATCTTAACTCCTTACAAACATATGCATTTGTTTTCTTTTATTTAATTTTATTTAAATAAAAAATAAAATAAAACAAATTAACAATGCGAGTACAGTGTATTAAATGATAGTAATCTAGCAATAACGAGAAGATGGCTATCTATGTACGAAACATTCACAGTTACATCAGAGAGGACTCTCTCATAAAAACAATATAAAAACACTTTCTTAAGAGAAGTTTGTGTTTCACTCTAATTATTGTGTTCTAGGATTTTCTAAGGGTTATGTTTTATTTCATGCGCAAAGAATTTTACAAAAAACGTTAGGACACTGTTCTAGTGTAAAATATGTCAAAACTTCAAAGGAACAATGAAAACCATGTAAAAAACGTCGTTTTCTCGTCCACCAATATTGATTGAGTGATCGAACTTGTTTTCATGTTTTTAAACGACTTCAAAAGGAGCAGGTTATTAATTGACGTCTTATTTGTCGTGGCTCGTTGAAGTCAGACTTACTTTATAACGATGTCTGCGTTTGGAATTATATACTTTTTGGGTATTTTTAGATTATTATTTTCTGTACCAAATGAATGTTGAACATCTTTGACTACATCGACGAGTACCAATTGAGGTTACAGTAAACTTTGAGGACTTGATATTTGATATTTTCAAACTGTGTCAGTTCACGTGGCTAATGTACTATATATTTACATACACGCTTATATACTTATATACATCTTACATAAGTTATTTGTTTTATTTTTATGGGGGAGTCCATTAAACTATGTCTACTTTTACGGCTTTATTTTTCTTATTAAGTAATTGCATATTATTAGGAATATTTAGACTTAGTTCATCAACATTCCAGTTGAAAAATGAGTGAATTTTATTAAATATCGTACCAAGTTGTTACATAGAAATCTTATATTTATCAACACGGACATGCACATATGATTTTCAGCATATTATCTAAAAGTATTTACGTTACCTTTCAAACTTTTCTGTGATTGTTTAAATTTATTTAAATTAAATAACGTGTTCATATTTTTTTTAATAAATAAACATAAACAGACGTTTTTTATGTGAAAAGCATATGGAAAAGTCCTATTTTTATGTTTGCTTTATAAACGTAAATTAAGTAAAAAAGTATAAGGTACTAATGTTACGTATAAAAGTAATAACGCACTCCTCTTACAGCTATGCAAACGAAACTAAATACAAACTTTATTCACTAAGCCGCTCTAGGATTTTGCCGTTTCAAAGCGGTTTACGATGAGTGCATTCGTATTACTGCTTTGATTAAAAAGAGTATGAAGGAGCATTATAATGACTGGTTCACGCGATGGACTTCTGCATCGGTGCTCGTAGGTTTGGCTCTCAACCAGGATTAATACATGTTTAACCTTAACATAATTGTACCGTTTCTGGTTGTTTCTCACTTGTACAGTTTGTGTTTGTAAAACGCCTCCACAATTAAGGATTTCCAATCGTGAAATAGGTAAAATCGCTCTATCTAGTGACAAGAGAAAAATCTCATCAAGATCTGTTGCGTAGTTTTAATGATCTAAACATACATAGGGACAGACAGACAGCGAGACGACTTTTTTATAATATGTAGTGTTAAACATACATATCGTCTTTGATTGGAACGATTCCGCATCGTCAAAGGATCATACTTTCACGCCAGAGTGAAATCTCTTTTGTAAGATATTGGGATATTTATCTTGAATGTTCGTGATGGGCTAAACTGAATAGCTTTGGCGCTTTGATATATATTCGTTATATATTTAAAACAAAATTGTTTGTCTCAATCTTTTGGGTAAAATAAATATATGTGGATTTATCATTAGTGACTGTACTAGATTAACCTCTGATTTATGTTATAATGGCCATGATTATCTCGATTCTGTTGTTACAGGTCTTCCAAATGATCTCTCGGTATACTGGCACCAATATCCGTATAGTCTCGGGCTCGCGTTCTGCAAATTGAGAGCCCTCATATCTGAAGCGTAAGTGATTTATGTTAGAGAAGAGCGTATTAACATCTGATAAAATGTCTATTATAAACGGTGTTTATAATAAAAATTGTGTAAAGTATTGTTTTTGGTTAATGATCTAATATCGCCTTCCAACATACTTGCATAAGATGACTCAATGGTGAGGATGCCAAGGTATTTATTGGCTTCGGGGTCGTGGGTTCGATTCTCACACGAGACAACTATTTGGGTGACAAACAGATAAATGTTTTTAATCTGGGTGTTTGTCCACGTGAAATTTATGTGTGTAAAACGTCCTGGACAAAACAGGATAATGTTATCCTGCACTAAGGGGTAAAGGTTTCGAAAGGGAGAATATAATAATAGATCTACTAGATCGCAAAAGGCTATTGGGACTTACAATCCAACCCCTTCCTCAAATAGAAGAAAGAGAAGAACATACTTGTAAAAATAATTATTTATTGATTAATTACTCATTAATTACAGCCTAGAAGAATAATAATGAATTATAATAATGATCATCTTATAATCTTCTTTAAACATTTTCAATCTTCAAATAGCTATTTTTAATATTATTTTGAAGATTAATTGATTCAATTTAAATTAACGTCCAACCAGGTTGAACGTTAAATGAAATTGAATCAAACATTTTGTCAAGTTACCTCTATAACTTATTTATTTCAGCGCCACCTACGTGTCGGTTATGACGATATCAGCCTTTTCACTGGAACGGTACCTCGCGATATGCCACCCACTGTATCTTTACGCGATGGCCGGCCTCACCAGGGCTTCCCGCATCATCCTTGTCTTATGGGTCGTCTCGTTCCTTTGCGCATCACCGTTCGCCGTTTACAGTGACATCAGTTACAGGGATTATCCGCCAAGTAAATACCGCTATAGCTCTGACAATGTTTACCTAGACTTCGCAGTGCCGTCAGTTTCAAGGTCGCTCTAAGTAAATGAGAGTTGTGACTTCACTACGAGTAGGGTCGTGAGAAATCTGATATGAACTTTAGTGCTAAAAGCACTATATGAGATGAAAATACCAGATCTCTTGAATTATGATAATGATGATGACAAACATAATTTCGGAATGTACTTAGAAGTAGTCGATACAATTATCTATCTCTCTAAGATACTTATGAAATGGTTTTTGTTAGTTATTTTGGATTAATAATCTTTTTCCAATGGTTGATTTTATTTATGATAATCTATCTAAGTTCAACTTCATATGCTACTCGTATACGTATATTAGAATTATTTAAAATAGTTTTAAGATTTGTTATAGCCTATTATATTGTCAATTTGTTTTTGTTTTGAGTGTTTGTATTAATTTTAGATTCGGGTAACATGTCGCTGAATTCAGCGTTCTGTGCGCTGATGGCTCCATCGCCTCTGTTAGAGCTGAGCAGCATCTTCTTTTTCTTCGTACCCGCTGTTCTTATTCTCTGTCTGTACGTGACAATTGCTCTGCACATAAGGTACATTTACTTACTTTTATATGTTTTTTAAAATTTCTTTTAAAAAAATATACATTTTAGTTTTCTCACCAGAATTCAGTCTACAGTCTACTAAAGTGTGTCATATTACATTGAAAGGTGAATGTGTCAGCCCAGTAAAGTTAATTTTCTTGTAATTCAAAAACAAATTATTATTCCATAACATAAAAATCCCCAATTTTGATGAATTCCCGGATTTTGATGTCAAAACTTTATAAAATAAAACATGTACTATTTTAGTTTGTATAGTTTTGACATCAACCCGTGTAGTAGAATTATTGTTTTGTATTGTTGGTGTTAATGTTTAGTTACATTATCAAATTTAAGGATTCACATTTGATGTTTATGATTCATATTTATGTTATATGAAGCCCTAAAATAAATATCTTTCTTTACTAAAATTCCAATTAAAAAGCCTATGTCCTTTCTCGGGCTCTAGACTATCTGTGTACCAAATTTCATTTAAATCGGTTCAGTACTTTTGGCGTAAAAGCGAGACAGACAGACAGAGTTACTTTCGCATTTATAATATTAGTATGGATAAGGAACGATTTGATAAAAAAAATTAAATTAAATACTTCATTATGTATGCTAGCCAATGCCAGGTTCGGTGAGAAATGAAAATTTGGTTACCACTAGTGGAATATGAAATCCTTAATCAAGGATGTCCGATGTCAAAGACGTGAGACTTGATTACGGAATAAACCTCATTGAATTTAAATTACTGAATCATTCTACTGAATAAATACTGAGTTAATGAATACTTGTTTAGACAAAATATTATTTTTTCGTTATACATTATTACCATTATAATGTTTACTTGTTCTTTGTAGATCGACTAAGGTCACTAAAAAGACGAAATTTGGTCTTTTGAACGGTCACGTCCATGGCGAAACGAAGCAAGCTAAGTCCAGAAAGGCTATAATAAGGATGCTCGGTAATAACATCTTAATGTAATACTTAATGGCCATAAATCATATCATAATCATCATCATGATCATCATCATCAATGGCCATAATTGTTTTTTTTTTACTTACTAACGTTACTTAGTTTTGTGGTGCAATAGATAAGAAATATTTGTTAAGACAATATCAAGTTACTACCAAGTCATTGAATTATTTTCCTAAGTTATTTATTTGAAAATATATGAGTTTATTTCTACGGAGAGTCCAGTGAAAAACTTGATCGTGAAATTAAATAAGTCGACCTTCACCCCGTAACGGGGTAAGTGCTGGACTAGATAACAAAAAGTAAAGTAACAGCCTACATGTGACCCACCGCAGGCCTCTTCTGTACAGAGGGTATCAGGGCATAGTCCACCACACGGCCCCACTGCGAATAGGCGGATTTGACATATCTTCGAAATATTTTTTTTGTTAATATTGCTTTCCTCACGATGTTTTCCTTCATTACTAAGTAAAAGTCAACACATAAAATTAGAAATATTATTGGTGCCGGCAGTGGCGATCGAACTCGGGTTGCCCGAGTATATTGAATTACAGGCGAGCGCCTGGACTCCGGCGTGTGGATCGAGGCCCACTGACCATATATATCCTACATTAACTCTTGTACACTATATAGAAAGAAAGAATAAAGAAAGAAAGAAATAAAGAAAGAAAAAAGAAAGAAATTTAGTACTTGTGAGGCAGTCTATTTGCTCATCATGTAGTTCTCCATTGTAGTGGCAGTGGTGGTCGCCTTCTTCGTGTGCTGGGCGCCTTTCCACGTGCAGCGTCTCTTCTACATCTACGGCTACGAGCTGTCGCAGTTCCACGTCATCAACGAGCACCTGTTCAATGTCGCCGGTGCTCTCTACTACGTGTCTGCCACCGTCAATCCCATCCTCTACAACGTTATGAGCGCCAGGTACGGCTAAAACTAATAGCGTCTAGCCATTTTTAACTGGAACTATGCATGTCTTATTATATATCCCTGTATTATACAGGGAGGCTTTTCTAAGTGTACGAGCTACTATTATTAGAGCTATCATATTAACAACTACACTAAGTGTATCCATTTTTTTTATTAAATTCTAGACATAAATAAGGTTATATAGAAAATTATAAATATTTAAAAGCACTCTTAATTAATTAATTACATTCATTTGAACTTATCTCAGAAAGTGCGTGATTTATGGGCAACTCATTATTTTACTCGCGATCATTCATAACTAACACGCACACAAGTTCGTTTCAAAAGTATACGACGCATTTATGAATGACTACCGCATTGTCAACAAGTTCTGTTTTTTAGGGAATAGAATGGCAATGTTTTTGAAAAAAAAAAAGGTTTGTTTTTATTTCAATAAACGAATATACTACCGAGTCTGAACCTCCTGTATGAATTTGAGCACCTTTATAAAAGCCACCCTGTATATTATGCCATGCTATAGTATTTTTTTTTCCGGATAATAATACAGAAATCCTTAAACTTTCTTAATTTTTATTTATTTAAATAAAATCAAGTATTTCGTTATATAAAATTCTTTGAGTACTTTAAAGATCTACTAAAGCTTTAGAGTCGATGTATTTACATTTACACGTGTATTTTACAAATTTAATTTTTTAATCCCTCAGAGAGTATTAGAGCTATTTTCCTTCGCTTCTTTATCTGGCCGTGTTCTTATCAGGTACAGAATGGCCTTCCACGAGACGCTGCTTTGCCGCAAAGTAATGCGTCAGGGCTCCAGGAACTACAACCTGGACAACACTTGCCGGGACACCGTCGAGTTCTCCACATACTCGAGGAACAGACATAGGAGTAGAGACCCTCGCGGAAGCATTTCCGTCAGCAAAGTCGACTTCATAAAGGAGCCATCGCCGTTTTGCGTGGGGGAAGCCATCAAAGTGGCCGAGACCGCCGCCTACTACTTCAGTAAAGAGGAGAAAGGGTCGAACCTGAGTGAGAACGGCGATGTGGAGTCCGGCGTGTATAATTAAAATAATGATGTTTTAATAAATATGACGCGTGTCCATACTGTGCGGCGTTTGAAAATTGTTAAAAAGATCATTCGCTTTAAATTCTAAGACACGCTGTATATGTCATACAGCGTGTCTTTACAATCGCGACAATAAATGAACACACATATAGAGGATAACTTTTTAAATTTTTATTAAAGATTTTCATTCTTTGAACATCAATATTTACAGAGTTATCAAATTTTCCAAAACAAAGAATTTTAGAACAGCCTTACGTATAAAACTGTAATGTAAAGTTCATTTGTAAAGGTCACAAAGCATATGAATGGGTTTAATGAATTTAAAAGAGACAAAACATACTGTTAGAAGGAGAGGCTTGTAATGCGGCGCTGTGGCAACGAATGAAAAAGTCTCTGAATGTATGAATCAGTCCGTTGTAGTTGTATAGGATGTTACAAATTTTGTTTCTTTTTTACTTATTTACTTTATTTGAAAAATATTTTTTTAATAATGTATTTTTTTTAACATTAATATTTTTTTATGATTATTGGCAAGTAGCGTTAGCCGTGTGTTCATTTATTGTCGCGGTGGTAAAGACACGTTGTATAAGGGAATGTGACAGATGATATAGAAACTATGTTATGTTATATTTATATTATGTTACGGAAAAAAATAGCAGTCTATAGAATTGCAATCTAATTACAACAATTGTCTTAATTTGAGTGCCTCAATTTCAGTGCAATAGTATGACGTCTACCTCGTAATTGTATATAATATCATTGAATTAAACAGCTTTTTATGCTCTTCAGTTGTGACTAAGTAAATTGTTATCCATAAAAGCTTCACAATTTTATTTTTGAATTTTATCTTCTTTTGACGCGTTTGAGAAAAATTATGAGAGGGAATTTTTTACGATGCGCAACAATTAAAAGCGACACCAACTTCACGGTGCTGCCATGGCAACAAATAACAACTTTTTGACATTTACCTATAAATCCAAGTTATTTAATAAGACATTGAATGCAATCAATCGATAAGATTGCATTTAATGTCTTTTTTCACGAACAAAAAGTTGGAACTGGCTCACGGGATAAAACTATTAAGTTGTTTTTCTTTGATTACGCTAAAGAAGTATATCTTTTCACGTGCGTGTATATAAGTACACAGACATGTTTTTAATAAGAGAAACACACATAATATCGAAGGTTTGAATTGAAATAATCTAAGAAATTTCGATATAAATCTACAAAAGTATCGTATGATAAGTATGCGTTAAGTTTGATTGTTTCAATTGCTGACGTCCGTTGGATATCTATAGAATAAAAATAAATGTGAATGTTACAAAGTGTAAGTTTCTTAAATAGCTCTACTTAGTGTGTCCGTAATTATTTATAAGTCATGTTAAGTAAAAATTTAATCGTAGCGAGTTGTGGCATTCTTGTCATAAATAAAAAATAAAAATTGTAAGACCTCAACTCAAGAAGGTCATTTGGAGGGCATTAAATATTTTTGTTAATTTAATTATAAGTACCTACTAGTAGTTTATTCTAAAATAGTTTTACGTTCTAATAAGATTGAAACACTGATTGTTAATAATTAGGAAAGTACTAGTGTAAGCTTGGTAATTAATACATGTAGTTATTTAAATTGTTTAAAATTATTTTAAGTCATTGAAAGATGTAAAATTATAAAAAATGTGCACTGTAAATATAATAAATGTGATTTATAAAAAATGTTTCATTTATTACCTGTATGTGAAATGAAAAGCATTTTTGGTATCAGTATATGTATATAAAGCCTTTTTATACATTTAAAATTAGAAACCGTAACTACTGTCTATATTGAGTACCTCCAAACTATTCGCATTGAAAGCCAAAATACGTAGGACATACAGACATTTTCTAACTGTTCAAATTATGGACATTTCAGCCCTTTCACAACCTTACTTATAAAGTATGTTAAATACCGACTGATTGTAAATCTCGACAATCAAATATTTGTTAGTAAAATTCTGCTTCCGTTTGCTCTGTTATTTTAGTATGAAATGAATTTGGAGCGATACAAACGATCTTTATATAACCTGCTTATTCATAAAATTATTTAAGTGGGTGTGCAATGATCAAATATCTGGATCATGTCTTTTACCTATTCGTAATTATAAGCGTATATTCTTAAGTATTTTGCAGTTTAAACAATACTAGATTGACAGATGAAACAGTTTGGCTTACGTGTTAGATTAGGACCAATGCAATGAACAATATTATATTAAACTGTTTATTCTTTATTTGCACTGTATACTAAATTTATCTCATCATATTTAGATGTTAGTACTCGTAGACGTATCGATATTTCCTACTGCACAAAATTTTAGTAACTTTGGTTCAGGCTAGGCCTTAATATTACATACTTGCTTTTATTTACACTGACCTAAATAAGCCCTTTTGAAATATGTGTTTCTGGCCTGTTTGTTTATTCGGGCTAATGTCCGAACCGGCTTACCGACCCTACGTTGATATCGGTAGTGTAATTTGCTCCATTCACTGAAATATTCCTTTCAACCATACGAGGGAAGGTTTTGTTTGATAGGTTTTGAGGTTAGGACTAAAGCAAGTTTTACTTACTTTAAGTGAAAAAAAAAAAAAAATATTTAAAGAAGTAATATTTGGCAGCCAGAACTGAGTACAAATATAACGAATTTTCGAAAAATTTCGATTGCGACATCGACGAAATTCTCAACGTCCTTTATCTACATTGCTTTTTAACATTTGAAGCAATGCTTGGCGCATCCATTGGTATATCCTTTCCAGCATACTGACAATATGGAAGATCGTTTTATAACGATAATTCGATCGAGAGGATCGTCAATCGTCGAAGCATCAGGGCTCGAATCCCGAAGATGTGGGTTCGATTCCCACAGCGGCGATAAACTTTTCGTTCCTTTTTTCTACAAATTTTAGTAGTTTGTGATTTTTGGAAAGTAATCTGTGAGTAAAACTTGTTCTGAATCCCAAATATTTGCGGCCATGAGGTTTTTCGTACTTTGTGGTTTTTTGCCAGCTTTAACTTTTAGCAACGGCATGACGCAGGTTCCTGTTTTAATATTGTATTAGTCATGCTCTGGAATGTAGGTTAGATGTGCAATGATGAAATAAAAATAGCGTCCAATATATTATTACGCTTGCGAATAATTTCAATAAAGTTTCAATTGTGAGCGGCGGAATGTTTTGGCGCAACGCGCTAATTACGCGACTGCCAAAGGTTTTTCGAGCGTATACTTATGTATTATTCTTTGGCACGGTGTCCTCAACCTTTGACGGACTTAAACTTATAAGGTGTTAGTAGTTTAGTCTCAGTCATAGGAGTGATATAGAATAGTACCTGGATGACCTTGGTAAATCGTGTATTTTGGAAATTAAAATATATACACAAGAATTGCTCGTTTAAAGGTATTATATGTTACTTCCATATGATGTAAGCGCAAAAAAATTTTAATTTTAGTTTTATTTTAATACAAAATTGTCTAGCAAAATTAAAATATTCCAAAGATATGTGAAGTCTGCCAATCCGCAGTGGGTTCGCGTGGTGGCTAATCAGGTTTTGTTTCCACATATAGTGTTACAATAGTTTGTCCATAAATGCCTTTATAACACCGAAAATGCAGTCAGTAAAGTGATATTAAACAGAATAAAAATAAAGACTTATCTTTTATATACGTTCGTGATTAACTTACTGAGTAAATACCACGTGTTACATAGTAAGATGGTAACACGTGGTATTTACTCGAATATCTAGCATACTCGGTTTTAACAGTCGCTTAATTCCAATGTGGGTTGGAGTGTACGTAACAAATCTGATCAATAGCAAACATAAGATGCCGGTACGGTTAATTCGAACGAAAGATACGGTCAAGACCTCACACTAATCCCTAAGTTTAAATGTACCCGTATTTATAGGTACAGACGTAAAGTAACCTGCTTTTAGCTTAGTGGTTAAAGCGTACGGGCACGAATCCGGTAAATGTGCGTTCGATTCTTGCAGCGACGTAAAACTTTGCGTCCATTTTTTTCATCTTAAATAATAATCTAAAAATTTTAGTTTCAAATAGCAATGGCAACATCTCTAGTCCGTATTATCGTTGTAAATTGTTGGTGTGCCCTAAAGGACATAAAAATAGATTTTAAAACAAGCATTGTTTAGAATAAAAAAAAAGAATGTAGATAAAGTACGTCGAGATTTGCGCGCGCCGGTGTGACAACGAATTAGACACGCACACAACAGACATGGATTTGATTCTCGCAGTGGCGAAAAACTATCCCCAATACTGGAAAAGTATTGTGTGATTAGCATAGTCTTTTTCTAGTGTCTGGATGTTTATATATGTATAATGTATTTATTTACAAAAAAAAGTATTTTTAAGTATGTCTATAATTTTTCTAGTACCCTTAGTACAAGCGTTTGCTTAGTTTGGGACTAGAGAATGTTGTGTAAAAATGTGTCCTAAAATATTTATTTATTTATATTTATTAAGGTTTCATTTTAAGTGCATAGTTAACGTGTATTGTGTGTGTAAGTGGTATTTTGTTTTGTAACCATATTTGACATGCCATGCTCGTTTAGTGTTATGATACTTTTTCTTGTTGTAGAAAATATTACAGAATTAGAATAAGAGTAGAGAGGATATAATTACATAATAAGAGGTGCCTTGTCGGGAGTAGTCACTCCGCAAAAGGATTTGATGACGGAGGAAGGATGTTTTTTCATTTAGATTTCATTTAGAATCAATTCATGATTGCCTAAATATCTTGCTTTCATGTGGAAAATATTAATAAGTATAGGAAAATAAATTAATGAGATCATTAAATTAATATAAAACATATGAAAAAGGGGATCAGTCAATGTAATATACTTTTGATCCTTACTTCGAATTAAACAAAGCACAGCACACTCGAAGTTCTGTCCACATTGAAAACACGACTACGCATGAAGTTAATTCATTAGCTCGGTTTGGAGTTTGCAGT